GATCACTTGAGCTAATGCTCTACGGGGGACATGCCAGGATAGGCAGTCCTTTAGAAATTCATTCAGAGCTATTCTGTTTCTCATCAGTGTCCCAAGGCTGTAAAAAAAGATGGTGAGGAAACTCCACAGCATCACTGCCACAAGTCAAACATGAAAGGAAAGGAGATTACCACCTCTCTCCCCACCTGCAGTGCTGCTGCTTACAAGATGATATAGTCAAGGAAAGATGCATTGCCCAGAATAGATATGCAAATTACTGTGACAAGAACATTCCTGAAAAACTGTAGCATTGCCCATAGAGTTGCTTTTGGAAGTGTCAGTATTATTACCATTGGGTATGAAGGAAGTAAACACCCTTCCCCATTGCTAGTATGGTTGCCTATGCAGTAATGAGTCACATTTTCTAGAATGCCCTTGATGATAGTAGTACTACTGTGCAAGATGCATTGCCAAGCACATACAGTCACAACTGCAAAAATGCCCACTGGGAAAAGAGTCTTATCCCTGGGCATTCCATGTGGTCAGACCTGTTACCCAAAGTGCTCTTGATCCCTTGGTCACTTTGGAGTGTGGTCATAGTTAAGCAATGCAGCTAAGCTATGTAGCCAGCCTCCTCAGCCATGAACTAGGGGTGGTCTTTTCCAAGAGAGAGACACCCCAAAACAACCTCTGAACCTCCACAAGCAGTGCCCTCATAAAGCCAGGCTTGGCTTAAATAGTGGCTTTTGCTGGGAGGCTAGGAGAACCACATTTTGGCTGGGAAAACTCAGGCCAAGAGAAGACTCTCCAGGCTGGCTGCACTGCCAAACAGCCTCCGTGCAAGCAAAAATCCCCCTCCACACACCTATCCTGTTAGCTCAGTCCAAAGAGAACTAGAATGGGCAAGTCTCTGCCCTTGCCTCAGGCATCTTCTACTGACCAAATGGCTAGTCTTTTGTCTGTCAAATATACAGGCAGGCAGGGACAAAGAGCCTCTGGTCTGTGCTATTGTCATGAATGAAGTATGTTGCATGTTTCCATCCACCATCTCCTGTTTCACCTATATGTCAGGAAAAACCTTTGGAATAATCCTCTCATTCCTGTCTCCATATATTTGTCTAAGATATCTGCATTCTTACACCTATGCCAGACCTATCAAGGTAAACATTAATTCTCCATGTCTAGTGAATGGTCTCCCATTCAGGTTCATCCTGCTGTACAATAAGAAACATAACCTCTTTTGTCTGGCACCAGGAAAACGCCAGGCCACTCTATTGTTCCACAATGGACCCTCCCAGCCCAACCATCCAGCACTTGGCTTAATCTAATCAAGGCTGTTGTGCAGCCAGACTCTGCCCCTCTGTAAGCTCATTGGTCACCTCTGAATTATGCGCCACCTGGTACCACACCTCCATGGACTCCTTATTGGTCTAGAAACCAGCCCACAAGGCCTGCTACTGGTCTGCATTGTTTTCCAATGTCTATATCCATCAGAGCACATGTCCTCAGAATTTGTGTGTCTGCCTCAATGCCAACTGGCAGTTGACCCCTAAACCTTTGGTTTGGGACATAATCTCCTCTCCAATGGACCCCTTAACATCTGGACAGGTTGTATCACCCCATAACTAACCCCTCTATTCACTATCAATCACCTCTGATTTCTTAGTTCTATATTGCTTACTCTTTTTGAATGCTTAGTGTGCTTGTAATTAGGGAAATTATTCAGTAAAACCTATTTAATTTACTCTTCAAATCTGGAATTTTCTTGCTGTGCCGGACCTTGGTATACAAGTAGTATACAGGTCCCTTGTACCCCTCTGGCCTTGTCTGCTGCCTAGCTAATTTCCCCAGACAACAAGGCAGGCCATTGGCTATAACTGCTAGGCATCTGCAATTACATTTTCATATAACTGAGTATGCTACTCTTTCTCTCTGTGTTTCCCATGAGAAATCTTTTTTTTTAAAATCCAAGTGTAGATTTTAATTCCCCAACATGCCAAATCAATAATGCATTGTAGCCCCACTGGGCCCAAGCTCAAATTTAATACCATTTGCAAAGTGTAACACAGTTAATTTTTGAAGAGTGCTAACATTTGCAGTAAAATATACATACATGGGTCCGTGTATGTGTAAGACCTTGAACGTGTGGTGTTCAAAAACTAGCCCAGCAGATGTGAAACCATCTGCTCTCCCCTACTATATTCATTGTACATATTTGTACAGGACTAGTGACAGAACTCAAAGGGGCGTGTGTAAGGATATTATGGGAAATCCCCACTCATTGTGGAATCATTTTATCATATCCTTCTGGTTTTGGTTGCAGTAGCAGCATGGGAGTGGTAGAACAGTTGTTCATATCTGAAAGCAGAGCACCAGTGCAGCCAGTTCACTGTTGTGGATAATACTAAAGCATGGGCAGACATAGCAGCAAAACCAAGTTGCTGAGACCAATTGATGTAATGGTAGTTACTGGAACTGTATGGCTGGAAAACTGGAACTAGAAGAAAATGCCCCAGTCTTATTACCCTATTGCTCTTTTTCTAACCTGAGTCTCCATTTACTGAGTGGCAATCATGCAGTGTTTGTAACAATGAAATAAATGGTGCTTTCATGACAGACTGCAGCCAAAACCATTTAGACCCATGTGATATCAGGAAGCATGAAACTGGTGGGTCAGTATCCATGTAGACAGTATTCAGATCCAAATGCCTAATGAAAATTAGTGCTATTCACTGGATACAACTGTGGAATAATGTTGCGTGAAATGTAGATGATATGACCTAGAGGGTTTCCAGCAACATAAGTTTTTTGTTTTTTTTTAAACTTTTTAAACCTTGATTTCCAACAGTTAATGTAATGGGAGATTGCAAACTATACATCCATTGCTTCAAATGCTGCATCTCTTTTAATCTTGTTTGCATTTAGAAGTCAACAGTTTTCTGCCACACTAGCAATCATATTAAATATTTGGTCTCAAAGCTGAAATTTCTCAAGTATCTTCAGGATCCAGTGTCCCATTACCACCAACATTAGATACTTTAATGCCTGCAGAATGGCAATGAGGAATAGAAATTACTACATTGAAGTGGGGAAAAATTGCACTGCAGCTTTTTTCAATGAATAAAAACTGTTAAAACACATTAAAATACCATTTACCAAATAGCAGAACCTAATGAAAATTGGAACTGTTCACTGAATACAAATGTGGAATAATACTGAGTGAAATGTTCTGTGTGTAACTGTTTCTCATTGTTTCAAATTGTATTACAAAGCACTAGGAAGGGGCAATTTGTGGTTCAGTAGGCAAATAGGATAATAAGATCGCTAGCAATTTTTTTGTGTTTATACATCTTAAATTCTTTCATTTACTCTTGGCCTTTAAAAAAAATCTTAGAAATCTCTTTTTTTTTTTTACTAAACTTCCTTGGCCTCACATTAAATACAAATTCAAAAGGATAGGAACATGAAGACAAAACTTGTCATCTGCTGATTTGTCCCTACAGGAAAATATTTTTGCTACATGTCCAGATCCCTCATAGATAAAAATTATTTAGCGCCAGTGAAGACATAATGCCTCTGATCCCTTAACTAATGTTAGAATATTTTGTAGCGTAATTATGTTTACCCATTTAGCAACCTCCCCCACCCCCAAGAACAAATTTTCCTTTCCTGCTATCACAGGATACATCAGCACTGACCTGAACAGTTATAACAGTTCAACTGTTAAATGAATCCCCTCTAAGATTGCAGTCATCATAGTGGGGGTTGCTAGGGAACTACAACAATATTTCCAGCCTTCAAACCTTGGTTTCTGACTGGAAAAGGTAGGGGAGGGTCCTTTTCAAAGCTATTTTGACTTCCCAGTCAACCTCTGCTCCCCTCCTTGGCCCTGAAGGGAGGACTCATTGAGTACAAACCCAGCAGCAACCACCACTTGCGACCATGCAATTTACACAACTCACCCTACTTGATGCCATGTGCCACACAACTTAATTGGATCTAAGCACAGCCTCCACACAATTTGTGTGATTTGGCTCAGCCCAGCAATGGCTATCCCACAACTCACCTGAGCAACTTGTTACCACATGCACCTTGGACAGTCTGTAAGGTAAACAAAATGCTTTTAACAAAACAACAACAACCCTCCAACATGCAGAATATAAAAAGACAAGTATGGGACTTTTGAGTACTTGAAGGGCATCTCATTTCTCCCCCACTATTCCACTATTATTGAGCTAAACCAATTAGTTCTTTGGGGTTGCATAAGCAATTAAGTATTCAGTATGAAAATTGGGTTGTTGGTTCAATAGACCCAGTAATCAGCCATTGGCCCTTGATCCTGACAGTTCTGAGTACAACAAAAGACTGCATTTCTCAGATTTGAAAAACAAGAGGATCTCACAGCCCCACTCCATTGTTAAAAGGACTGGGAGCTCAGAAACTGAGAATTTTGGATTAATTCTGTGTGCTTCTCTGCCCTCAACAGCAAATGAGTAAAAAAAAATATTCTAGAGCTCTTCTTCTTAAGTATGTAGGGGCTATAGCAATACAAAGCAAAAGAGCACTTAGGTGCCCTCTTAATCCTGCCTTGTAGTTTGTGGGTTCTGTGAAAGCCATTCTGTGAACGAGCTGAGATACATTATGTCTGGAGGATTACATTATTTTTTTGTAGATTTTTTTTGTCAGTACCTCAGTTTTGATTTTTGACAAGTAGCCTGATTTTGTGTGTTTCTGTAATGGATGTAAAAACATACAACTTGCAAGCTAAGCACAGTGCTTCTGAAACGCCTTATGTGACAGCTGTCTAATGTGGATCTGCTGTTGTTTAAACATGAATGATGTCAAGGCAAATGAGCGAGAGGCCACAGAATGAAAGACCTATTTCACTTTAACCGAATAAACAATACCAGGCAATCTCACTATGCAAGGTTTTCCTCCGTGTTCAGCTTTAGAAACATACGAGAAACATACTTCTCTCCTAGGTGAACTGGTAATCTCTCTGTTTTATTCATATACTGTAGGTTGAGTGGTGTCAGCCTGGAAGCTGCTGATCGCTTTTCAACTGGGCAAAAATATGCATCTGCGGTAGAAGTTTGCCAGTGTCCTCCAGGTTATTCTGGTACTTCTTGTGAAGTGAGTATATTAGTGTGTAATGCGTTAACTGATAATGCCTCCAATGGAGTTATAACATTGAAATTCCAAAAGCAGGAAACACGACAACAGAAGACGAATGACAATCCGTTTTAGTTTTCTTTCGTTTTAGATCACAGAGAAGTATTCTGCTTTCCATCTGTCCGTTAGGTGAACATTGGCTCTTTGTTAACCGAGGTTAATGCATTGTGAGCTGGCTTGGGAATGCATTCTTTCTTTTCACACTGTTGCCTCTCAGAAGGAAATTCCTTATTCCATACTAATCAGAGTATTTGTCTAACCTGGAGCTGAAACTATGGTATCAAGTAGATTTGAGTTCATGGGTTATAAGGAGAGTTGGTTACTGTTAAACAGGGATTCTTTGTGTGTGAGAGAGAGCGATGATACTCACTGGTACTGAGTACCACCACCTTTTTTCAGGGTTCTGATAACTTAGCCCCTTTTAATATGGAGCCTGCACTACATATGCACCTGTACAGACAACATTTTGTCAGGATTGAAATTTGGATTTTATTTTGCAAAAGAGTTGTAAACTGAATTTTCACTTGTTCTTCCTTATAATTTTACACTGCCAATGCAGCATTTTCTTGCTATGGGCATTATTCCAAAGGCAGTGCCACACATGAAAGAAGCCATTACATTAGAGGATAAACTTTCCCAAAGTTCGGTCTTGTAGTGCTATCAGAAACATTAAATCGTTTAAATAGGTATGATAGAGCACTTGTTAAATTGTCAGTTGAAGCCAAACTAGATGTTAGCTTTTTTGAAGAGCTGGATCCAGATTCCCTGGGTCCGGATTCCCTGGACCCCATTCAGGTTTCCTGCAGCCACATAGCAGTTGTGGGGAAATGGAAACTGAGGAGAGGCAGTTATATCCCCATTTTTTTTGCTGTTCCACGTGGAGTATTCAATGCATGTGGAATAGCAAAAACAGGGAAGTAAGCCCCCCCCCCACACACACACTGTCTTGGCACAGAAAATGGCTGGGGGGGGAGGCAGAAGCCCTTCTTCCCCCTTCAGTGGCATCCCACTTTTTTATAGATATTTCCCACAATTGCAAGAAAAGCCCTACTTAAGTCTGGGAGCAACTAGTTAGACCATTAATCTTTGATCTAGGAGTTGTAAAACTTTTTTTGTTTCATAACTGAGTATTGAATTTAATGATGATATTTTATTTTTACTTTGTAATACTCAAATATTTATAGTTTTGCATTTTTTCATATTTTGTGTGATTCCTCTTTTTTCATTCTCTAGCATGTTTGCCCTGTTGGTTTGAATAACTTTATTGAAGGTTATGAATGCAACATTCCTATCCTTTCTGTATTTTTTTACTGAAACATTATCTAGCTTATACCCATGCAATGTATATATATGCTTAACTAAATCATAAATGCTCTGTCCGTGGTAACAAGGTGATAAATAATATGTCACTTGACACGAACCCCCTTTATGCTCTCAGTTCTGTGAGGGTCTGCAAGTCTGGACCTAGTCAGAGTTGACTTTATTTTTCCTGACCAGTCCTCTACACCCCCAATGTATAATATTCACTTCGGGGTTTGTTTATTTCAGGCTGTCTTCTTTGAGGACTACTGCACAGTATATGACTCCCCAGAAAGTCAGGCACCAATACTTGTAACATTCAAAAGGCACAGTTACCTTATTGTTGCACAGAAAACTCAACAGGGGAATGTGATATATTTACATGGGAGGTTCAGATACTTTGTTGAATAAACCAATCACTTTGCCTTGGCTTAGGGTGTCTGCTTTTCACTCTTAGCGGTGGCGCAGGCAGTTAAACGCCTGCCCTGTAACATCCTCCGAGCAGCCACTATGGCTGTTCGAGTACCACCGCGGTCGAGGTGAGCTCTCGACCTTCGTCCCAGCTCCCGCCTACCCAGCGGTTTCGAAAGCAACCTAATTGCAAGTAGATAAATGGGTACCCACCCTTAGAGGGGTGGGGGGCACCCTGTATGGCTGGTTGGAAGACGGCGGTGGTGAACACCGACTTGGTGCGGACGGCGCGGTGGTGTGGCGTTGCAGCGGCGGACGGGCGCGATCGGAGGAGCGCGATCGAGCGATCCCTGGTGGCCGAGAATGAATACACCGAAGCTGTCGTAAAGAAGAAGGAGCGTGCGCGGACGCCAAGCACCAGCCCAGCGGAGCCGGAAGGGACGTTGCCGGGCCGGAAGCAGGCAGAGCCGCGCGCCTTAGGAGGAAAGAGCCACCACCGAACGCCAGAAAAAGAACACCCGCCAGTCCAGAGACCCGACCGGAGCCGAGCCAAGCCGATAAAAGAAACGACGACAACAACCACCACCATAGGGGGGTGCCGGTAGGCTGTCCCATCCCCGTATATACTGTGGCCCTAGTTAGGGAAAAATGGTGACTAGCACCACCAAACCTGTAAGCCGCTCAGAGACCCCTGGCAAGGGATTCGAGCGGGATATTAAATTGAAGGTTAATTTAAAAAAAAAAACCCTAGATGTTCCTTAGCTCACACCACACCACTCAGATCTCACTCTCCAGTCACTCCTTCAGTGGTTAACATTTGGCTTTATTTGTCTGGCCCCTTTGAGTCTAACTGGTCACCTAACCAGCCTTCCAGACTCCTCTCTCCAGACACTCTAGCCTTTACTCAGCCACTTTATAAGTCCCTGTGGAGCAGTGTTTCTGGTGTCTGTGACCACTCAGGTCTTATACTTTTACCCTCCTCGGTATATCAGAGGAATCAGTGCAGAGTGCTCTTCAGCCACAGTGGTTTACATCAACTGTTAACAGGTGTTCTCTCAAAGCTCGGTTAGCAGACTCCTCCTGTTAACTCCTCTCATCAACTCCCTCTTCCAACTCCCTCTTCCAACTATTCATTAGGTCAGTTTTCTGTCACTCAGGGAGTGCTCCAGCCAAAAGGCCCCCTCCCCTCTATGTCATGTGACTCAGCAGGGATCTATCTCAACATTCTGCTGGTCCCAGATTTTCAATTCCGTCACAGCACTCTAGGCATTTCCTGTCAGCTCTCCTCTCCTTTAAAATACACCATAATTTTATTTATTTATTCAGGTCCCAGAGCCTGGATACATAGCAAATACTCTTGTTTGTTCCTTCTATTAGATATTAATGTAAAAATGAACCATTTATAAAGTCTAAAGACAGGTTTTGCAGGTGTTTGTAGTGACTGAGAAACGTTTTTGACCAGAGCAGTACAAAGTAAGTGAATGCATATACAAAAGAGTGCTTCCAATGTGGGATCTTCACACTATTTTCTCATATTCTAATAGTGAACTCAGGATATCTTTGGATACTTAAATCCAGTGACTAGAGCTGTGAATGGGCAAGACAGATCTTTCTACAAACCTGAAAAGAGTCCCAGGTTTGCAGAAAAATGTGAAATTAAAAAAAAAAAACTTTGGGCAGCTTTAAAAAGTCAAAAATGATAAAAGGAGCACCTGTAGCTTTAAAAAGGGTTCCGTGGCTGCTGCTAGGCAACCATAGTATTCCAAGCTTGGCTCTGTCAGTAAAAGGCATAATGCCCTTTCCAGGCCTATTTTGGCCTTTGAGGGAGGACTTAGTGGGGCGAGGCCTGACAAGGGTTGCCAGTTCCAGACTGATCTTCAGAGTAGGGTCTGGGAGACCCAGGTTGGAATCCTCATCTTGCTGCAGAAGCTCACTGGGTGATTTTGGACCTGTCAAATACTTTCAGCCTAACCTACCTCATGTGGTTGTTGTGCTGATAAAAAGGGGGAGATAATAATGTAAGGGCTTTGGTCCACACTGTGGAGAAAGTCTGTTGTTTTCCTAGATAAAAGCTGTGGTTAAAGTGAATGGAGAGAGAAGGCTGAAGACAGAGGGGCAGATAAAGGCAGGTTGGCTGTTGTGTGGAAAGGAGCTAAGGTTGCAAACTCCTGGTTGGGAAATTCCTGGACATTTGAGGGTGGAGTCTGGGGAGGGTGGGGTTTGATGAGGGGAGGGACATCAGAGCAGTATAATGTCATAGACTTCACTCTCCAAACCAGCCATTTGCTTTACGGGACCTACAATTGCCAACCTCCAGGTGAGGACTGGAGATCACCCAGAATTACAACTGCTCTCCAGGTCGCAAAGATCAGTTCCCCTGGAGAAAATGGCTGCTTTGGAGGGTGGAGTCTATGACATTATACCCTGCTGAGGTTGCTTCCATCTCAAATCCACACAGTCCCAAGCCTCTACCCCCAAACCTCCAGGAATTTTCCAGTCTGGCACTGGTAACCCTAAAGGGAACTGATCTGTTTAGCTGAGAGATCTGTTGTGATTCCTGAAGAGTTGCCCCTGTGACTCCTGCTGGGCAGGGGGGGATGAAGAGAAGAGAGAAGAGATTAGTTTTATACCCCACCCTTCACTCAGAGTGGCTTATAATCTCCTTCCCTTTCTCTCCTCACAACAGACACCCTGTGAGGTAGATGGGCTGAGAGCTCTGAGAGAACTGCTCTTGAGAGAACAGCTCTGAGATAACATTGTCTCAATGGTTTGTATTGGCCGCTTTCTGGGTGCCTCTAGAATATGCCTCTAGAATATGCCTATGTGGTATCGGTGAAGTGGATGATGTCGAGCATTACATTTTGAGATGTTCATGGCACGAATCACTTAGGCAAAGGTTTATTTATCCTATTGTACCTCTGTATAATGGAATTTCAGAGCAGGATTGGACCTTTTTCTTGCTCTCTGATATTGATGCACATGTTACTAGCAGAATGGCTTTGTTTGCACTGGCGAAAAAAGATAAGACTGGGTCTAGGACTTACTGCAAGTTATTGATGTATAATGTCTGTTGTGCTTTGATTTATTTTGTGTTGTTATGGCCAATGGCTAAGACAATAAACTAAACTTGTGAGAGAACATTGACTGACCCAAGGTCACCCAACAACTACATGTGGGGGAGAGGAGAATCAAACCCGGTTCTCCAGATTAGAGCCCATTGCTCTTAACCTGCTACATCAAACTGGCTCTCT